TGTTTTTCATACCTAAGAAACATCAGAAAGTATAGTGCTAACTTCTAAATAAATTATTTAATATCCTTTTCCAATTTATTTAGTTAATTAGGTGATTTAAGCAATATATAGTAAAACTATTCATAAAAATCTACAAAAATTACAGTAGCTATCTCATGCTGGACATAGACTACCATAAAAATTTCAAAGTCATTGGACCAACATAACTTGCTGTATCCAAAATAACAGATGACATGTCTATTTCTAGCATAATTAGGAAACCTTATTAAAAAGTGTCAAGCAACAGATTTCCCATTTTTCCTAGCATCCTTCTAGCATAAGAATAGCACCCATAAAATTTCACCTTCACTGGATCTATAGAAAAATTATGAAAATTCACACAAGATCCACCTATTAATAAAAGGAAATTCTATAACTTAAAAACTACACATGCACTAGCTCTAAAATTTTTACCAGAGCTTCTAATAAGCAATAACAGACTGCCCACAAAATTTCATAATTTTTGGACCACAGAAACTCAAGATAAAATTCAAACAAGTTTGCATGTATCCAAAAACACATTTCAAAGTCCTAATTAATTCATCAAAAATTTCTAAAACATGTGCTCATATGATATTTTTGTTAAATACTAGACATGACCAGGAACCTAACAAAATTAGAACCACATCATCTGGATCTATATACTAGGAGCTACATATTTTTGAATAACAACACAATTCGGTGAAATAATAAAGCAATAAAATAAGAAACAAAACGCATCCACAGTACTGTTGGACCGCCCAATGGAACAAATGGCCCCATGAAAGCACACCGGCGGCTGCTGCCCAAGACCTTGGCGCCATGCCCAACACACACGGCGGTCCAGGCTGGCTCCGCCTCAGTGAAGGATTTGACAGGAGGACCCAAGCGTCGGCAAGAAGAGGAGCAGGGGAGGCGGCCTCGGCGACGGTGGAACTCGCCGACGGCGAACCCTCCGGTGAATCGAACAGCACCGGCGTGCTTCCCAAGTCCTCACGTTTCGATTTCCCTACCAAGCCGAAGCTCTAGTGGTCCCTAAGCGCCCGCCACACAAGACGGGCGAACCGGCCATGGCGCGGCGGCGGCGCTAGGTGTGTGTCCGTGGCGGCTAGACCTACATGGTGGCTCTACGAGCTTCAGTAGGGTTCACAGAATCCAGCGCAAGGGGGAGAAAGGGATGGAAGGGGCTCGAGCAGCATGGCCACGCTGCTGCAGGCCAACGGCGGCGGTCATCATGGCGACTGGCGGAGCCACCCACGGTGTGATGATGTCTACCGCGAAAACACGGTGATGGTGTGGTCGCGGACGGGGGAGAAACTCATCATGGGGCTATGGCTTGGACGAATCGGGCAATGGAGCTTGGTTGCGGTGGATTTTTGGCTCGGTGGCTTCAGTGATCCAAAACAGAGCTACGGTGAGCAGAGGAGGCGAAGGAAGGGAGAAATGGAGCGGTGACTCGGTGAGCGGCGCTGGGTGGTGGAGGTGGCTTCAAGCGACGCTGTGGGCCGATGAGTGCGCATGGCGCGTGTGGCAGCAGAAGCGGCGACGGGTGGCGGACATGCGGCTTCAAGTTTCGAACCGGTCGGCCATGGTGACTCGGCGGTTATCGAAAACGCGATTGATTGCTAATGACAATGCACGACAAAATGAGTATTCGACGATGATTTTCTCCAAATCCGTGATGATCTAGACTATGCCGTAGTTAACAAAGTTGCTCATCTATCCTTGAACTACAACTCTTTCCACTGGAGCTCAAGCTGGTGTGGCTCGGTTAGGGAGATACACGGCTCCAAACATGGGTACACGAAACTGTACTGCACGTTAGGACTTAGAAAAATTTGCTGAGTATGAAATCAGCATGTACATCTGACTTGTGGGCCATGTTTGAGCATGTTCTAGCCATTTTCATGAGTTGGTCATAAAACAACTTTTGTTCCTTGATAAATTAGCTACAACTTTTGTAAAGAGTGCACAGCCATGCAAAGCTTCTAAGTTGGACTTTTGAATCAGTCAAACGATGACACTCCATGGGTCAAATTAAGTCAAACTTGCACTTGAGGGCATTTTGGTCATTTTGGTCTACATGAACAATGTTCCAACAAGTAAACTAAGTATAGTTAAGGTGTATTAGACCATGATCACCCATTTTACAAAGTTGTTATACCACTTCTACTGATCACATGTGATAAAGAAAGTAAAACAAGCAATTCATACATATGTTTCAATACAATGTTTCGCATGTTGCATGACCTTGTTGTTATCCTACACTTATCACATTACTACCATGTTGCCATGTTTCATGGTATAAGAATTTCATGTTGCATTCACAAGTTACACCATTACTATTCACAACAATCAAGCATGAAACATACACAGTTGAAATTGTTGCACATGCATGTTTCAGTAACAATGGCGATGATGACATAGATGATGCATATGTTTATGAAATGAAATGCACTTAGTAGAAGCCAAACACCGAGGGTGTTACACCGGTGCGTAGTGAAATCCTAAGCCAGGATAGTAACGTGAAGAGAGGCAGAGGAAAACCGAAATTGACTTGGGTAGAGGCAATAAAAGGAGATTTGAAATGATAGAATATACCTAAAGACTTAGCCTTAGATAGGAGTTCTTGGAAAACAGCTATTCACGTGCCTGAACCTTGATTATTACTTCTGCTGAGTTTCAACTCTAGTCTATCCTAACTTGTTTGGGACTTAAAGGCTTTATTGTTGTTGTTGTTGTTGAATTTCATAGTTGATTACTCACAAAGTTTCAAGGGGGAGATTGGCTAAGACATTGATATGACCAGTAAATTGGTTGTTCTGCAAATACCTGAGAGGAAAAGGAATGGGTTACTGCAAAACATTGTAATGAGGCATGTCTAGGAGATGAAAATAAACAGGCATGCATCATTTCATTCATTCTTTCAGGCACTGCACAAGTGATGAACTATCAGAAATCTGAACCTGTTAAATATAATGGAAATTAAAAATGGTACTTGAACAGATAACAAAACAATACTCACCCTGATTCCAGAGGGTGGTAACTACCGTCTTGCATTAAAAAACACTAAAGCATTCCAACACAATTAAATTGATGCTATATGATTAAATTGTTAAACAAAAAAATTGTATAATTCCTTGCAAAAAGAGACCAGTCAATTAAGTGAAAAAACCATAAAAGCCACAATGGATGATGTAGTTTGAACTACAGGTGAGACCTCCAACTTCATGGGCACCTTTTTGGCATCCTTACTCAGAATCTCAAGAACTTGCTGACTGCTTTTCTTCTCCCCACTTGGCTCCAAGGATTCCTCCATCTTCTTCTTGGTTTTAGCACTTAGCAATTCAGAAACTGGCCATATTAGTTTCATCGTGACCATCATCATGAATGGAATCCTGTCCAACTGTCCAAGGCAGTCTAAAAAGTGAAATCAACTATCCTGGTCGCTATATATCTCGATCCGGAATGTTTGAGAGCAGATAGTATGTCAACAAAAGCATGAATACAGAGCTATGCCTTTTTTGCAAAAAGATACAGAGCTATGCCATGAATAGAAAGCCTATTTCTGGATCAAAATAAAACAAAATCAACAAAGAAAAGAGAAAGAACATACCCACATGGATGTATGGATTGGAGGGGTTGGACTGCTAGGAAGCGGTAGGGGATGGAGGAGGGCAGGGCGTCCTTCAGCAACGCCCCATCCTCCTGGTGGCTACCTCTGTAGGGCACGGGAACTTGGTTAGCCTCCTACTCCTGAGCTTGCGCCGTCCATGGAGGAGGGGAGGGGAGGTCGCGCTCACGGCGGCCGTCGTGCTCGTGGCGGTCCTGTTTCTCACGCGCGGCCAGGCGGGCAGGGCGACACCGGCGGCGAAGACCTGACGGGGAGGCGGCGGGGAACCCTAGCTGCGGGACGGGAAGGATTCACGGGAAGGGGAGGGGAGAGGACGATGTTTCATTTTTTTTTCTCGGAGAAAAGAAAAACACCGTGCAGGAGGGATCGAACCCTCACCACGGGTCGCGGGCGGCTTCGGCCGTAGCAGACACATTGAAATCTGGCCGTTGGATACTTATATGGTTGAGTATAGGAGATTCTTCTTCTTGTTATTAGATCTTGGAAGTTTTCCCTTTTTCAATTTACTAGAACCTTTTGGTTATGACAGTCCTTTCTTTCATGTCTTTCCAGTTAGTACTGAGAACATAATTTTGTAATATTGGGGTAACAATTTATAACAAAAAACTTGGTGCACATCTCAAATATGCTGGAATAAAGCTAGCTTGGTTTGTGAAATTAGGTTATCTATAGATCTCCACTTCTATGGTGTCGTAAGGCAAATGCATGGTACTCATGTTTTTTCTTTTTAGAAGGGGGGAAGAGCTTTGCCATGGTTTTATTAGACGATAGAAAAGAGCAAAAACAGAATTTTGGATACACAACTAGGGTAACACCGGGGTTCCACAACTACCAACTTTCTGAAGAGAAAAAAAAAGAGCAAAGAACGAAACGGCCTGTTGAAAAAGGACAGAAAAAGGACCTCCCAAAGAAACCCAAGTGGAATGGCACAAAACAATGACTAAACACAACCAGAAACCTAGGGGTACTCATGTTTTTGTAGACTGTGTTTAAGTTCATTGATTTTCACGAATTAGTGACTTCAAATATGCAGAACCATTTATCAGGGTTCATGAACCTGATTTCAGAATGTAAAGTACAATCAGTTTATTGAAGGCACTGTTGCATAACTTTTTCTTATGAGTCACGATTTAATATTTCCTGAACATTGTAGTACAAACAAGTTGATCTCAGAATCTGCTGATGTGGCAAACTTCAAGACTCTATTTCAATTTTCTCCTACTAGATCATGTTTATTTAAAGTTTGCAGTTTTTACATCAATCCTACTGTTTAGCAGGTTCTTTGACTGCACAAGAAAAACACTACTGACACCAGAAGGATACCACTGCCCTGTCTCTATTAAGCATAATGCAGCTTGCTCTTGGTACAGCAAACTGGCTCCTTGGGAAGGTGCTAAACAAGCTGTCCAGTAATTTAGTGGAAGCATGGGTCGCAATCTCTGAGCTCAGTAGCAACATGGAAGCTATCAAAAGAAAGCTGTGGTACACACATGGCATGCTGCATGAAGCCCAGAAGAGAGATGTGAGGGACAACCAGGGCTTGCTAGTGCTCCTGCACCAGCTAAGCAACACAGCTGATCAGGCAGAGGATATGCTGGATGAACTGGACTATTTCCTCATCCAGGATAAGCTATATAACACCCAGGAGGCTGCTGCAGAGGTTCATGGTGTCATCGTTGGTCCTGCTCTTCATGCTCGCCATGTTAGTCGCCATTTTATTGGCAAATGGTTCTCATGCTGCTCGTGTTCACATGAACCTGAACATACTCATGGTGATGATCCCATTGGTGATGATGATGTAGACATCATTAAAAGCCCACCAAGGCCTGTTTTCAATAGAGTGAACATGTCCAACAGAATAAAGATGTTGGTAGAGCGCATGCAAGATCTATGTGATCCTGTCTTGCCTCTGTTAAATCTAAACATCTCCAGCCTTGCGCATGACAGCACAGCTGCTCTGAGACGACCTGTTACCACCTCAATGTGTACAGAGGTCAAGCTGTTTTGGAGGAGGACCTTGCTCAATAAAATTACAAATGACATGACTACTGGTGAATATCATCTCGAAAGACTCTCGGTTCTTCCTATAGTGGGCCCTCCTGGCATTGGAAAGACAACGTTGATTCAGACTTTATGCAATGACCCAACAATACAAGAACACTTCTCCATCATAATTTGGATTAGTGTGTCACTTAATTTTAGTGTGCACAGGCTCTCTCAGGAAATTTTCAGGTGCATACCTCCCACTGAAAGTGATGGCAGAAGCAGAGCACAGGAACCAACAAATTTGGATCAACTTCAAAAATTAATTGAAAAAAGATTGAAGTCAAAAAGGTTTTTAGTCGTCTTGGATGATATGTGGACATGCAAAAGTGAGCTTGATTGGAGAACATTATTAGCTCCATTGACAAGGGCGGAATTGGACGGCAACATGATTATAGTTACAACAAGATTCCAAAGTATAGCAGAGTTGGTAAAAACTACCAATCCAGTAACTCTGGCTGGCTTGGAGCCTAAAGAATTCTGGAAGTTCTTTCTTGCATGCATATTTGATGACTACAGAACAGAGCAAGACGAGGGTTTACTTCAAATTGGAAGAAAAATTGTAGAGAAACTGAAATGCTCTCCTCTTGCTGCCATAACTGTTGGTCGATTGTTGAAGAAGGATCTCACACAACTGCACTGGATTAGAGTTCTTGAAAGAAAAGAGTGGGAATATCAGAAGGGTGACGATGACATCATGCCAGCATTGAGGATAAGCTACTACTATCTTCCTTTTCATCTAAAAAAGTGTTTTGAATTTTGTGCTCTTTTCCCTGAGGATTATGAGTTTGATGGTTTAGAGCTGATTAATATGTGGATGGTTCTAGGAATGATTGATTCAAATGGTACAAACACTAGTATTGAACAAGTAGGGCTGGAATATCTGAACACATTAGTGGATAGTGGCATCTTCAGTAAAGTTAATAAAGAATCATATTCATACTATGCCGTGCATGGTTTGTTCCACGAATTAGCAACATGCATTTCATCACATGAATGCATTCAAATAGATTGCTCCAATGTTAGATGTGAAGGCATCCAATCAGCAGTCCGTCATATATCTTTCATCGCTCAAGATAGCAACACATACAGTGAGGGATCAGAGTTTTATGAAAACATTAGGAAGGAAATAGGTAAACTGAAACAAACAGTAGATGTTGGAAATTTACGTACTTTGTTGTTTATTGGAAAATTTAATGCTATCTTTGATAAATTTTTTGAAGACATTTCTCAAGAATTGAGAGCACTGCGTGTTCTAAGCTTAGTTACATTACCTTCAAACTTCTTACTGCATAGGCTTTCAAAACTCATCCACCTTCGTTATCTTAAAATCCAAGTACCATTTGGTTCAGTCATTTCTTTGCCTAACACAGTCACAAGATGTTATCACTTGGAGTTCTTGGATCTGAAGGGGTGGGGTCCTGATTCTAGTTTACCTAGAGACATGAGCCATCTTATCAATTTGCGTCATCTTCTTGCTAACAAAGATCTGCACTGCAAAATTGCTGAGGTCGGTAAACTGAAATTTTTACAAGAGTTGAGAAAATTCGAAGTTAGAAAAGATGTAACTGGATTTGAGTTACATGAGTTGTCAGAGCTGACAGAGCTCACAGGGTCACTAAACATATGCAATCTTGAAAATGTCAAAACAAAGGGAGATGCTGATACAGCTAAACTAATTTTGAAAGGGAAGCTTGATAAGTTGAAACTAGTCTGGAACAGTCAGTGGCCTAACAGGGATCCAACAGTGGAAGATGTTCTTGAGAGTCTTAGGCCACATCCGAATCTTAGAGAGCTGTGCATTAAAGATCATGGAGGATCAACATGTCCATATTGGTTGCGTACTCAGAGATCCATTAAAATGTTGAAACCCCTCCATCTACATGGTATTTCTTGGAAAACTCTTCCACCTTTTGGGCAAATGTCAGATCTCATGGAGCTCAAAATGGAGAACATTTCTTCAATGCATTAGTTTGGAGGAACAGAATTCGGACAAATCACTGATGGAAGCTTCCAAAAGTTAATGGTGCTTAAGATTGCTGATATGCCACAACTTGAAAAATGTGTAGGAGCAGGTGCTCTGCATTTGTTTCATCAGCTTAAAAAACTTGCTATTTCAAATTGCCCAAAACTTAGTGAACTGCCATTCTCACATTGCATTACCTCCTCTACAGAAGATTCTAACATGACTTGGTTTCCCAAGTTGTGTGAGCTTGTGATAGAGGCCTGCCCACAGTTGTCTCTACCTCCCCTTCCACATACTTCTACAATAGATCTTGTTAGAGTCAAAACTACAAATGGCTACTTCTCTTATAATAGGAATGAGTTGGTGATTGATGCATACAATGGAGCTCTGTCATTCCACAGTATGCATAAACTAGAAGAGCTATATGTTTGCAAGACCTCACTTTCATTGACAGGTCTCCAAAATCTAACTTCCTTGAGGAAATTGGATATAAAGTATTGTAGCAGTGTGCTATGTGATTCTAATCTGGGGGGAGCTATTTCCGTTCCTGTTAAATCACTCATGATTTATGACTGTTCTATCACAGGAAAGGAACTGTCAAAGCTTCTCAACTGTCTCACCGATCTTTCCTACTTGGAGATATCTGATTGTCCAAATATAACAAGATTGTGCAACACAAATGATATGGACAAGGAGGATGGGAATGAAGAAGGATTGCTCTTATTCCCGCCTCATCTTTCCATCTCACTGCGAAAGTTAGAGATCTGCAACTGCAGGAAGTTGTTTCTGGATCCAAAGGATGGAGGACTAAGGTACCTCACATCCCTTGAATCATTACAAATGCAGGGATGTGACAGCTTATTGTCAAGGTGGTTCGTGGAAGAAGCAACTTTCCAGTGTCCTTTTCCTATATTCCTCAAAGACCTCGTTCTTAGAAATGTACAGAGCTTGAAGACAATGGCTATGCTCTCAAATCTCAGATGCCTTACCCATCTGGAAATAGTTGACTGCGATAATTTGAATGTTGACGGGTTTGATCCTCTCATCACTCAATGCCTCACTAAACTAGTTGTTGTCAACCGTCATGATGAGTATTCTAAAGTAACAGCTGAGCTGATCTCAGGAGTAGCAAGGACAAAGTTGAATGGTTCATTCAAACTGGAAGACCTGAGAATTGACAACATTTCTGAACTTCTTGTCTATCCCATTTGCGACCACCTCTCTATCAACCTCCACACATTATGTTTTCAATATGATAACCGGATGCAGAGGTTCACAGAAGAGCAAGAGCAAGCACTTCAGCTACTTACCAACATCCAAAATCTCTATTTTAAGAGCTGCCGGAGTCTGCAGTCCCTGCCTGCAGGGTTATATCGCCTTTATTCCCTTAAGGTATTACTGATTGACACATGCCCTGGCATACGGTCATTGCCCAAGGAGGGTCTCCCTACTTCACTTGAACAACTAGAAGTCTACAATTGCAATAAGGAATTGAAGGAACATTGCAGAAAACTGAAAGTTCATAAACTCAAACTGTATTAAGCTAAGGTAGAAACATTCTCTCCTTCTTCCTGCTTATATGCTCCAAAAAGTAACAGTTTTAGCAGAAGCCCAAAAAGTATTTGATGTGTACATTTTACTTATGTGTGTTATTTGCAGTGTCTAATATCAAGGAAGTTACTGCTGGTGTTTGGGTTGCAAGCGAGAAATAGTGTGGTGGAATTGGTATGTTGCCTACTTTATTACTATTTGTTTCTGCTGATCCTTGTTCCTGATAGTAAGAACATTCAGCATCGGCCTTGTTTTGTTGATCTCATTGCATATAACACGGTGGTTGTAATGAGTTGCGAAAAGGAAGAATGGAGATTCATGATGCAACAAGAGGTCACCTCCACTTGCATGTCATTGAGTAGGAGAGGGTGTGCAGTTATTTGCTAATTTGAGCATGGCTACCCCCTGAATTTTTTTCCTAGATACTAGGGCCTGCTTGGATCTTTTGCTAGGCTAACCTAACCTCGTCTGCCTTGCCTCACTCAGCAAAGATAGGCATAGCAAGAAAGAGGAAGTCGTTTGGTTCTCTTGTCTAGTGACCTTGCTAGCCTCTTCTCTCCATTGGAGCTGAATCTGTTGGCAGGATGAGCAAATCTTGCCCAAGCGGGAGAGCCAAATCGGCTCTCCTGGATGGGCAAGGATATCCTTGCTAGGGTGGGTGAGCTTGCTTGGCAAAGCAAGGATAAAACCAAACAACAATTCTTGCTGAGTGAGGAGAGGCAAGAGGCTTGCCAGGAAACCAGGCGGCTCCTCATATCTATATATCTTATATTTGCAAACCTTACTAGCATGTCTATCTCTCCATGCAAGCTATCCACATCAGCAGCCACTACATGTAATTGTGATGGTTATCTCTTCATTCAAGCTATCAACATCAGTGAGCCACATCATCCACTAACATGCATTTAGTTGTCCACGTCAGTGTCCACACCATTCACTAACATTCATTTATGATAGTTTATCCTTCTATGTAAGTAAATATAAGTAGTCTAATTTCATTCTAAATTATCCGTGATGCCTGCAACAACGCGTGGAGTATCCTTCAAGTTCTATTCTAGTATATTCGTGATTCTTGGATTTGATATAACTTGGATTTTTCAGGTGATAGCCAAGGAAGTGAAGAGAAATGGAAGGTGAACAATCCAAACATTGAGAAATTTGTGAGACAGAGCCACGACAGTTCCTTGCAATTCAGTTCATGGTAAATCTTTGTTTTACGTGGTCACAGGTTATATTGGTTGGACTTCCCTTTAGGTAATAGTGTCACGGGCTCATGGCTGTGTCTAGAGCAGGAGTGATCATGTATCTCTTATCCAGAATTTTGGGTTGGAGGTGGAGAGAAAACCTGTCATTTTTAGGTTTGATATGTGATGGCTGTAAAGGGGGAATCTCCATGAACTGGTTAAAACAGTATGGAATACTACTTATGACTTCTTTGATCTTTTAGATATTTGGTAATTTAAAGCTAGGTTGTTAAGGAAGAAAGCTAAGAGTTGAACCTTGAATGTGAATGATAGCAATTAGGATTGCGTGGAATTGTAGATAAATTGATTGGAGAGATTTATGTACATATATATAGGAGAGGAGATCTGGTGGCTTATAGAAATAGGACCTGCCGAGATCTCCTCCTGATATCTCTCTAACCATATATAGGGCTGGCCGGCTATACCAGGCACACGCCCAACATATACACACGCACAACACATATATATTCTAACATCCTCCCACAGTCACAGCGTCGATGGAGCGAACGTTGAGACTCGATCGAAACTCCATGAAGACAGCAGTGGGCAAGCCTTTGGTGAAGATGTCAGCGAACTGAGACGTCGTTGGGACGTGAAGAACACAGACAGCACCTAGGGCCACTCGTTCTCGAACGAAGTGAAGATCAATCTCAATGTGCTTGGTGCGCTGATGCTGAATGGGGTTGGAAGACATATATACGGTGCTGATGTTGTCACAGTAGACCAAAGTGGCATGGTGTAGAGATGAATGCAGCTCAGACAACAACTGTCGTATCCAAGAGGCTTCAAGCAACGGCATTGGCGACCGCACGATACTCAGCTTCGCACTAGAGCGGGAGACGTGTTCTGGCGCTTGGAGGACCAGGAGATAAGATTGTCCCCTAGAAACACTGCGTATCCTGATGTGGACTTACGAGTGTCAGGACATCCAGCCCAATCCACATCAGAGTAGACAATGAGATTAGGTGCACTGGAAGCTGTAATATGTAAGCCCAACTGCAAGGTGCCACGAACATAGCACAGAATGCGCTTCAAGGCTGCAAGGTGAGGCTCACGCGGGTCATGCATGTGAAGACACACCTGTTGCACGGCATAAGCAATGTCCGGCCATGTGAAGGTGAGGTACTGCAAAGCTCCTGCTAGACTCCGAAAATCTGTAGGATCTGCAATGGGAGCGCCATCAGCGGAAAGTTTGGGGTTGATGTCAACCGGTGTGAAACAAGTCTTGCAGTCTGCCATACCAGCCCGGTCTAGTATATCCAACATATACTGATGTTGGGACAAGAAGAGTCCACAACTAGTGCACTGAACCTGCATGCCCAGAAAGTGATGGAGTTCTCCCAAATCTTTCATAGAGAATTCACGCTGAAGAGCTGCAATGATGCACTGGTGCAAATCCGTTGATGGGGCAGTCAGCACAATATCATCCACATATAACAGGAGATAGGCAATCTCTGAACCCCGTCGATAGACAAACAGAGATGTATCCGTCTTAGCCTCAACGAAACCCAACTGGAGGAGAAAAGAGGCGAACCTGCTGTTCCAAGCACGAGGCGCCTGTTTCAGGCCATATAGAGACCGATTTAGGCGGTAGACGAAGTCTGGGCGAGAGGTATCCTCAAAACCAGTTGGCTGGGCACAATAGACGGTCTCTGAGAGTGTCCCATGGAGAAATGTATTCTTCACATCTAGCTGGTGAACTGGCTAGCTGCGGGAGACTGCCAAAGAAAGAACTGTGTGAATGGTGGCAGGCTTCACAACTGGGCTGAAGGTCTCGTCATAGTCAATGCCAGGGCGTTGTGTAAAGCCACGAAGAACCCAACGAGCCTTGTAACGCTCGAGAGAACCGTCTGCTTTGAGCTTGTGCTTAAATATCCACTTGCCAGTCACTACATTGGAGCACGGGGGTCGCGAAACAAGATCCCAAGTGTGGTTGGCAAGGAAGGCCGAGAACTCCTGCATAGCTGCACGCCAATGAGGATCAGCAAGGGCGGCCCGATATGTCCGTGGAATCGGTGACAAGGTGGTCGCCTGAAGTGTAACCGGTTGTCGAAAACCAGATTTCCCACGCGTCCGCATGGCATGTTGGTTGGCCACAGGGATGATGGGAAGGCACACGCCCAACATATACACACGCACAACACATATATATTCTAACAGTGAATCTAAAATCAGAAAAGCTAAGCAGAACCTCCTTAAAGAGTTCCAGATTCTTGATGTTTTTGAAGAAACCTGCCAGTGGAGTGAGGGTGAGAGGAAGAGAATGCTGGATATCATGGTAAAGCTTATCATATGGCAGATGGGAGATCATGGCTAAGCTGAGAACTAGGGATAAAACTATTGAAGAATGGGATAATTATACTCCTTATTTTCAGGTAGTTGCTAATCAAAGAAATAGAAAGAAGAGAGGATTCAGGGCTTGAGAGCCCTAATGTCCCTATTATGGAAACTAAGTATGCTATAATTAGCTTATGGTTCTTCAAAAAATCTTTTTGGATACGAGAGATTTGGAGTAAACCAAGAAGATAATTTCTGAGATAAGGGAGGTAAAGTAGTTTTTTTTACCGTAAATACAGCAGAGCAGGCCCCCACTGTATGAATTTTATTAAAAGTAAGAAACACCGAAAAAACTGTACAAACTAAGAGAGGAAAACAAAACAGACAACAGGAAAACTGTACCCGAGAAGGGCGATATGGGGAACTCGAACTTGGCCAAAGAGGCTCAACAATGAAAGGAAAGTTGGTCTTTTCAAACCACCAAATCTATGGGCTTAGTAGACTAGCTTCCTCACATAAGTTTTGCCTCCAAGAGTAAAGGGATGGGCGTCAACGGTCGAAGATGAAGTTGTTCCTTTTGTTTCCAAATTTGCTAGGCACCAATGATGGAGAATTCCATAACGAGCTTCCAGGTAAAGTAGTTTGGAGGAAATGAGCTTCCAGAGGCTCCGCTTTTGGAGGATGAAATTAATGAGACAGTTTTTGGGTCTTCGAAGTCCATTTTTGTCACAATCTCACCTTCGTTGAGAACCATCTCTAGTTTCTTTACCACTCGATCATCATCAGTGCTTTGGAAATTCTACCCTTAAGGGCTCATGCCTCTACGCATGCGACCCTTCGATTTCCTTTGAGATGTGTGCCAGCTTTACAGTCTAGCTAGTATTCAGTTCTGCAGCTCATATTCCTCTGTTCATCTCATCCCGGTTCTCTACCTGTCTGGCTGTCTCTCTCTCCCTCCCTCCCATACCAGCAGGCGGCGCTCGGCCCCCGACGGTAGCGCGCGGCCACGGCCTTTGCAGGCGGTGCACTGCACCTCCCTCGGCGCCGACCCCTCCACAAGCGTTGCCCCTACCCTGACCCCAGTGGCAGGCACTCCCAGGAGATGCCTAGCAAGGCGTGGAGCCATCAAAGCTGGCGACGGAGGCCCGCCAAGCGCCACCGCCACTGCCCACTACCCCGTCGCAGTGCGGTAGGGTCTCACCGGAGCTCCGAGTTCGCGGCCGTGACCCCAGAGCTCCGGTGAGACCCTACCGCGCCCGCAGCAACCTCCTTCTTGCCCTCCCCCCTAGCCGCCACCGCCATAGCCATGGTTGCCCCCGCCCTGACCTTGCCTGGCCGCCTCCACCGTCGCCAGAACCCTAACGCCACCCTCCCGGCGTCCCCACTGCCTGGCCGGCGTGCCTCCCCCGAGCCCCTTCTCTTCTAGGCCCGCCAGAGATGGAGACGAGGGAGACATTACCACGAGCGCCTTGTCCTCGGTTCGCCGGTACTTCGCCGCCGCCATCGCTCACCAGTTGCCTGTGCGTGCGCTGCTCGCTGCCGTGGGCTCGCACTCGCTGCCAAGTTGCTCGCAGCCGTCTGTGGCACTTCCCACGACTTCACCGGCGTTATCATCCGCGGAGGTCTTCCCCGGCGTGTTGTCGTTGCTGCTCTTCTTTCTTCAGCCATGGTGGGTGCCCCAGAGGTGTTCGACAAATTGCCCCTAGGCAATTTCAGCGCTGCTCAGGTGAGAGTGTAAGTGGAATTCTCCCCACTGTTTCATTCATTAATCAAGAGTTTATAAAGGAGTTACATGACTCTTCCATTCATTCTATACTCTTCCACTACTAAGACTCTTCATTCTAGACTCTACAAATTCTAGGCTATTCATATTCTAATACCCTCTCGCAGTCTCAACTGGGAGATGATCAAACATTGAGACTGGATCAAAAGTTGAGGAAGACAGCAGTTGGTAATCCCTTAGTAAATATGTCGGCATACTGAATGGATGTAGGAACATGTAGAACCCGCATAGCGTCAAGGGCCACATGCTCCCGGACAAAATGGATATCGATTTCCACGTGTTTGGTCCTTTGGTGATGAGCAGGGTTTGTTGATAAATACACGGCACTGATGTTGTCACAATAGACAAGAGTAGCACGTGGTAAAGGACGATGAAGCTTGCCCAAGAGTTGGCGAATCCAACAAGCCTCAGCCACGGCATTGGCAACACCATTGTATTCGGCCTCAGCACTGGACCGTGAGATAGTGTGTTGGCGCTTGGACGACCATGATATAAGATTATCGCCAAGAAATACACAATACCCAGAAGTAGAGCGGCGGGTATCCGGGCAACCTGCCCAATCGGCACCCGAGTAGATGATCAAATCATGTGACCGGCTGCGAGAGAGAGTAAGACCGTACTCCATAGTGTCTTTGATATATCGCATAATGCGTTTAATGGGAGCAAAATGGGACTCTCGGGGGTCATGCATATACAAGCAAACTTGTTGGACGTGTGAGCAATGTCTGGCCGTGTGAGCGTCAAGTATTGTAACGCCCCATCAAGAGTGTGATATAGAGTAGGATCGACAACCGGTGGTCCATCTTGGGCGGACAACTTGGAATGAAGACATATTTGCCTTGGCCAAAATTTCATCAGCATATTTAGCTTGAGAGAGGAACAGACCTGAGGATGACCGCTTGGCAGAAACACCCAAGAAGTAATGAAGATTACCAAGATTAGTCATGGCAAATTCTTGCTGCAGGGAGCCAATAATATGTTGAAGAAGATGGTGGGATGAAGCCGTCAATATGATGTCATCCATATATAACAGAAGATATGCCACATCCATCCCATGAGTGTAGATGAAAAGCAAGTTGTCACATCTAGAAGCCCGAAAACTAATTGAGGTGATGAATGCCTAGAAGCGGCTGTACCAAGCTCGTGGGGCTTGTTTGAGGCCATAGAGAGCTTTGTTGAGCTTACACACATAATTGGGACGAGCCGGATCAACAAACCCAGGAGGTTGTTGGCAATAAACAACTTCATTAAGAGTGACACGAAAGAATGCATTTTTGACATCCAATTGATGAATAGGCCAATCACTGGAGACGGCAAGCGACAATACTGTGCAAATGGTAGTGGGTTTAACCACGGGACTGAATGTCTCATCATAATCAAGACCATGCTATTGAGAAAATACTCGCACAACCCAATGAGCCTTGTAACGAGCCAGAGAGCCATTAGCATTGTGCTTGTGACGGTAGAGCCATTTTCCTGAAACAATATTAGCATGTGGCGGTGGTGGCACAACATCCCATGTTTGATTAGCAATGGAGGCACCATATTCCTCCTCCATGGCACGCTTCCAATTCGGATAAAAAGAACACCACGATATGTTTTTGGAAGCAAGCTGATATTTGTGGAAGCCGCGGACAAATTGCAGTATGCCTTCCCGTCATGTTGTCGCGATTGGCTGATGCCAGACTTGCCCCTGGTTTGCATGGCATGCTGGTTGATGGTCGGAGGGATAGGTACAATAGGCGCTTTGGATGAGCGCATATCATCTGGGATGATAGCTGTGGTGGAGCCGGAGGACGCAGGTGATGGCGCTAGAGGAGCAGCGGCAGCAGGCGCTGGTGGAGCAGCAGCAGTGGGCGCTGGTGGAGCAGCGGCAGCTGGCGCTGGTGGAGCAACAGCAGCGGGTGGTGCCTCGGAGACCGGTGGTGCTGTGATTGCCGGCAATGTCGCAGGTGGTTGCTGCCGGCGAGTGTATACCTGCGTAACCGGAGGCCGATAGTGGGGCAGTCCTCCTAGATCAGCTAAGGGGCGCTTGGGGCCAACTCTTGGCCCGGACTGGGTGTCGTTGAAGGACCAGCGGAGCCAGAGACCACTACGGGGAGGGCGCCAGGTAGCACCTGATCAACATCTGTATCATCCAAAAAATCATAGACACTCAAAGGTGCCGGTGAGTTGCACGAAAAAGGAAATTGGTGCTCGTCAAAGAGCACCGTGACGAGAGATAATGACTCGGTTTGTGGAGAGGTCAAGGCAAAGATAGCCTTTGTGGTTATCGGGAAAGCCAAGAAGGACACACTCCATAGAGCGTGGTGCGAGTTTATGGGGCATGGTGACGGAGAGGTTAGGATAACAACGGCATCTGAAAACTCGGAGATGATCATATGTGGGTGGTGTACTGAAAAGAGCTTGGTGGGGGTGCGATTTTGAAGGGTTTTGGTGGGGTGAAGATTAAAAAGATGAGTTGCAGTGCGAAGGGATTCGGCCCAATATGCAGGTGGCATAGATGCTTGGAATAACAAAATGCACATGATATTATTGATGGAGCGAATGACACGTTCAGCCTTGCCATTTTGTTGGGATGTATGAGGGCAAGAAAGGCGAAGGTGAATACCTTGTTGAAGGAAAAAGGAGCGGGCTGCATTGTTGTCGAATTCGTGACCATTGTCGCTTTGAACAAACTATATACGACAATTGAAATGAGTGAGCACATAGCTATGAAAATTGCGCATAGTGGTGAAAGTATCAGATTTCAGTTTAAGCGGAAAAGTCCACAAATAATGAGTAAAATCATCGAGACATACAAGATAGTATTTGTTACCGGATAAGCTCATAATAGGAGACGTCCACAAGTCACTGTGGATTAACTCAAAAGGTTTAGAAGCCCTTGACATGGAATGAGAGAAAGGTAAACGACTGTGACGACCCAACTGACACGCATGGCACAAAGAGGTGTCATGATCACGAGGAATAAGAGAAGTAGAGTTATTTGACCTCAAGCGGGAGAGGACTTGGGCGCCGGGATGCCCCAACCGCCGGTGCCAAGTGGTCTCCAGGGCAGCGAGCAGGACACGAGGATGTGAGGTGGACGTCGGAAGAAGCGGATAAAGATCTCCGGAGCTATCACAGTGGTGGAGCACCGTCTTAGTATGGAGATCCTTCACAGATAAAGCAAAAGGGTCAAATTCAACTGAAATAAGATTGGCTATGAGCTGAGGCGAAACAAGAACATTGGAAAGGTGAAGAGGACGGTGTGAATTGGGGAGGAAAGTATGACCAGAACAAGTGATAGGGAGATGAGTGCCATTACCAACAATGATGTTGGAATTGGAATGAAGAGAGGAGCTGATGGAGGAGAGATTACCAGAAGATGAAGAAAGATGTGAGGACGCACCGGAGTCCATATACCAATTTGGGTCGATGGCTAGGGTAGCCTGGTTCTAGGATGCCGTTAGGTCCGGGGCGCTCCAGAGCCGTAGAGGTAACTGGGCGGAGGTAACGGGGTTGCTGCTGCTGGAATAAGCCAGCACCCGGGCGGGAGCCGAGGATGCCTTGGCCCGGTATCGGCCACATCTGGAAGGAGCCGCTCCATGGATTGGACCACGGAAGGGAGGTTGCTGCGGCCAGAGCAGCAGCAGCCTGAGTATCGTCATCGGCCATGGACGCGATGAGGAAGAGAAGGAGGTGGCAGGTGGAGAGGAAGAGTTAGGGAGAGGGATAGGAACGGTTCCTAGTTGATATCATGTAAGTGGAATTCTCCCCACTGTTCCATTCATTGATCAAGAGTTTATAAAGGAGTTACATGACTCTTCCACTACTAACACTTTTTGTTCTAGACTCTTCCACTACTAAGACTCTTCATTCTAGACTCCACAAATTCTAGGCTATTCATATTCTAATAGAGAGAAGGGGAGAGGATAAGGCCAGCTAGGCCACACCCATGCCGCTCAATCCCACTCATGTGTGTGGGTCCCACAGTATATATATGTATGTATAGAGTATTTGAAATTTATAATAATTCGTATTGGTGCTGACACGTATCCCCATATATCTCATCCCACGGCTGCATGTGTCGGAGCATGTGCAGGGCAGATTTAACTTTCTCTGTCTGCTCTATCTTTGTCCTATCTCCACAGAAACAGTATTGGTAGCTCTGCCTTAAATTCCTTTTTCTGCTTTCCCTAATCATGCTTCAAGTGTAGAACATGGATGGTCTCAGACTCAATGGAAATTGAATTTCTTGTTTAAAAATTGCCAAAATTACCTTATCTTTACTGGTTAATTTAAACTAAATTTGTTTGTGGTTCTGTCCATATTTAATAACTAGTTAAGATCACCTTTAGATGCAAAGACAACTTACACAAGCAAGTCAAACAAGTAAATCTGGGCACCAAGTCAGTTAGAGCAAATAATCATACTATTTTTTTCTCTTATTTTTAGATTTGTCTTTATTTCATTCTTTGACCTGTTCACAACATATAACACGTTTGGTATTATCAATAAGTAGCCAAGTGGTGCAAATACAAGTGGACAGCACTGAAATATTTTGACTCCAGTTTCAACCCTCCACCACTGTTGTTGTACCAATGACGAGCATAAGTAAGTTAGATGAACTTCTTGTTGGATTCACACAGGTATGCCCATGCGACAACTGCAGCAGCAACTGCGACCCCAGCTGCAGCTTGCACCAGCAAGGACTTTTGTTTATTTCCGGATTTGCATGTGAAAGAAGAGCGAGGGGGTGTGAAGCCTAGCTCTGAGAGCTTCTTGTGTGACTCCGCGTAGTCCCTAAAGAAAGCTTCTTCATCCTGCAAACAAGGTTGGCAAAATGAATAGTGAACAAACAAGGATTAATGTCAACTACTACTGTATAAAAGATTGTTATGGCAAGGTGCATAATTTTCTATATTTTCAGATTATTGAAGCCGTAAGGATCAGCATTAATGAGAGAGATTCTTTAGGTGTGCCTTTCATTGCCTCCCCACGACTACGACATCGCCAACCGATTCAACCATGCGTGGGAGCAGCCTTGTGCAGTCTCCTCAGGTATGTGCCACGCCTCATGCCTTCGTTTCACTATCTCAGATTCTCAGCTCATCTTTGGCTGTTCTATTTATTAGTAGTAGTATATAGATGTTCATCTATGTCCTTCTGAAAGGTGTTGCCTTTTTGTTTTCGTAGACACATGCGTATCCCACATATGCACTCCAAGGACCTTTCCACCACTAGACTCAAATGAAGCAGAAAGCAAGAAATTATGCACTCTGTTTCTCATCACATTTTGAAAATTTAGAAACTTGTATAAACATTTTATTCTCTGCTACTTTTTTATTGACTGATTTATACCTTGTGCTCTTGCCTACTATTTCATTGTGATGGGGCACTTGCTGGATGGCACTGATGTGTGAGCAGGTCCATCTATTGTGCTTGTCATGGATGGCTCTCTGGTTCTGAAGAGTCGCAGTCCAAAGTGGTTGCGGTTTATTTTAGTTCCTTGTGGATCATCATGTATTTATTTATTAATATTGTGTAATCCTTTTAAACGCCACCCCACCAAATAAACATATTTGTCAAGAAACACTATATATTGTAGGCATGCTTTTTTTGTAGATCAATGCTATCCCTGTATATATATAATGCTTGGTCTGTGGTGTAGTAGGACAAAATTACATCACACGTTTATTGTTGAACTATTCAGAGTGTTTCTTCAACTGCGTATCTAGCATCAATATTGCTTGTGTGTAAAAATAAGAATTGTATCAACAAGGTGAAAAGAATAGAGTTCATTGGGCCCAATATGTTAGTGCACTTTTGATTTGTTGGTCTCTGAAATTTCGTGCCAACAAAGACATTTTACAGTTTTGACAAGACTTTTTCAATAATGAAATTTTTGTTCTAATTTGCATATGCCTGAATGTTGTTGCCGTAGCATTAGCATGGGCAGTATACTAGTATTGACTAGTTTGCTGATCAAATGATTTGGCCTGATATTAGCTAGAAATGAACTTAACATAATGAGTCTTGACTATGTTTGATAACAAACTAAATGCTTGAAAAATTTGTTGACTCAACTCAAGTTTGTGAGGCAAGCATTGGCAAGGCTGGGCAGAGAACCAATCGGCCCCTCAATTTCTGCAGGCCTTAATTCAAACACTGAAGCTTCATTACGTAGTTGGATTATTAAAGTTTTATTTTGGCACTACAAGTTCTGTTATTGTAATTATTACAATTCTATGATTCAAAAGGGGGAAATGAGAAAAATATAAAATGCAGAAAATGTCAGTGCCTACCTGATTTAGGTTTTATTGAAAATTCGAGATCAAATGAAAACAACAAATTATGTTTCAAGAACCATTATTTTTTTTCTGATAAGGTATTTTTTATAAGGTTTCAGGAACCGTTCGAGCATGAATGGAAGAAGGTAACTGAATAGTTGTGTACCTTGGCATATAGTTCGACGTACTGGCGGAATTCAGGATCTTCCACAAGAACTTTGTCAGTAGGGAGTTTCAAGAGCCCTTCAGAATCGCCTTTCAGAAGCTCACTGCATCATAGGATGTGAAGTGATAGACACAGACAGGTGTGACATTACTAACCATATTAATCTGAGAAAAATAAAGACAATAATCGGGCGTCAGGTTTTTGAACTAGTCAGCTTAAGGCTTACACGAAATAAGAGTTGTCAAATTTCAGAGGTTCCTTAGTCCATGGGCCATCAAATCCTGTCCTCTCTGGATGTGCTCTTCCCTGAAATTTGTATTGTGTGGCACAAAATTTTGGATTAAAAAAGAATCAACCCACGTTAATCTAATTGAGACCAGTTCATATTTGTTAACCCTTCTCTACTAAAAAATAATGCATGAACAAGAAAAGATGTTCTTGTGTACCAGAGTATGGCCGCCGGAGAGTGCCACAATGTCCTTGTCAGATAAACCCATCCGGTAGAAGACTTCTCTTAGATGCGAAGCACCTTGTGACAGATAACAAGAGCAAGAAGAATTGAAAGTTGTTCAGTAATGCAAGTGCTGAATTTGGGACGTCTGTCCATGAACATCGAAGGTGCGTTGCAATGCTGAGAACTCTCCTGCGTGTACTAATTGTGTTTTTTTGTATAAAAAGAAGCTTCTAAAGAGGTGTTACGAAGCAACCTTTTGTAGCATCCGGCAAGCGTCCTTCCTCTGGACATGCCGATGAATCCTGGTTTTTACAAACATGAAAAGCTAGAATAAGAAGGTCTAACAAAATGATATATACTCAGTAATGATAGAATCTGAGGTTGCCACTTGCACAGTACTAACTCACCTTTCTGCCAGGAACGAAATCAATGGTTGGTCCACCAGTAACTTCGACGGCGACAACTCCGGCAAGCTGGTTGATGAAGCACAACGTCAATTGGGTAAATAAATAATACATGGGGACATAGTTTTGTACTACCTGATACAGGTCTGCATATGTGATCTTGGGGTGCTTCTGTTTTATTGGCTCTGCACAGGAGGAAGCAGAACTGTGGTGTCAAGACTTCATCCACTTGATGCATCTGACTCCAAATAAATTCACTACTAGGAGACTAGAAAAACTGACCTAAGAGGTCAATGGCAATCTTGAGCCCTGCATTTGAAGAGTGGCTGTACTCCTGTCGGAACCTTATGGAGCCGTTGGGGCCTCCCGTGTTGGTCTTGGCGTCGTAAGTGCCAGCGTCATGCCACCTGCAACATCGAAAAAGTGGCATTGGATGTTCAGCAAGAAGATGTTACAAGCAAGTCAGACCACACCACACTACACTACCCTGTTTGTTTGACTTATAAGCCGTATTTTTTCAGTCAACGAACAGTATTTTTCTCTCACAATAAACCAGTCAACAACTTTTAGCTATGGCTTATCAGCCAAGCGAACAGAGCACTTTCCCATGAGAACGTACGCGAGGCGGAGCATGATGGGCGCGCAGTTCTTGCTGGAGATGAGGGCACGGAGGTCCCGCCACGCCCTCTCGATCTCGGCCATGTACTCCGCGTCCACCACGGGTGCAGACATTGCTGCTGAGAACTTGTTGCTCTGTGGAAGCAGATGAAGTGAAGCCGCAGCAGAAGCAGTTGGACAAGAAACAGGGCAGCAGCAGCCTTGGTTTCTTTTGGACTCTGGAGCAGGGGAGGTCTGGTTTTGTAGGAAAGTCATGGGAGAAAAGGAGGGGAGGAATCGAATGAAGTGGAGACGTGGAGAAAGCAAGGGATAACTCCCGACGAGAGCAACGTGTTTCTAGAGGAGAGGATCTATGCTAAGTGAACTCAAATTCATTTGATTTGATTCTCAGCTCTCAAGGCTGCCGAGCTTTCTACGACTTTCGTCTCGTCTGATTTGACCCTGCTGCAACATCGGATCACCTTTGACAGAATGCAGTTGATTATTTATTTATTTATTTCGAGGATAGTAGTTCTAGAGGGTTCCCTGGTTTGAAGTGGTTTTAAACGCTTTTACCCTTTTCAATTAATATAAAATCTGAAAAATACTTAATAAGATTTCCAAACCGTAGAAAATGTCTCTAAACTTTTAAAAATTCCAAGAACAATCATAAAGATAGATTGGAATATGATGAATCTGAATAAAATATATAGAGCTCGTAAAAATGTATGTAGAAGCTTCAAAAGTTACACTTAGATCTTGAAAAATAGGAAAAAATATCCAGAAAAAACTAGAAAATCTCCAAATCGATGACTAAACCTGTTTGAAAACTTTTCACAACAAAAATATGAGATGCAACGGCATAGATGCTACACACATTAACATGTAACGATAATACGTGCTCATTATGTTGGATTTTTTTATTGTCGAAGTTTTCAAAACATGTTTACACATCAATTAATATGTTTTGCAAATTTTCTAGATATTTTATTATTTTCCTAGAAGAAAATTTTTAGAAGCTTCTAGATATATTTTCAAAAGCTCTAAATATTTTATTTGGATACATTGTATGTATCCCAATACATTTCTAGGTTTTTCTCAAAAAAATAATAAGCTTGGAGACATTTTTGTGGTTTATAAGTATTTATATTTTTAATTAAAAAGGACAAAACATCTTCATAACCACTTCAAATCATAGCAAGGAGCTAATTTGAACGGTTCTCGGAGTTCAGGAGTGTGATATCTAGTTTTGCAGTTGGAGAAGAAAAAGGCGCTTCAAAAGCACTGTAGTGGTATTCAGTTTTGGATAGTATAGAAGATCGTGTAATTAGAATCTGCTTGTTTCATTAATTAATTGAATATATACTCCTTAGAATAGTCCGAGGAAAAGACAAATTTATCAACAAATTGGGATAGATGTACACTTTTCATGCAATCATGTAAAGAACCATAGGATCTTTTTGTATGGGCAACGGACGGATATAACATATAATACAAGGAGGGGCTTGCTTCTTCCTCCTTTTTCTTCTCCCTTCTTCCTCCTTCCTTTCTTCCTCATCCCTCTTAATTCTTCTTCCTTCTTCCAAAAAATAGAGGAGGGGCTCAAGGAGGGCTCCATTGTGCGGGAGGCGGTAAGGGGGCTCGAGCCTAATCTGCCCCATCGCTGGATCCGCCTCTGCATGGGCTTGAAGTGCCAAAACGTTTGCTGAAAATAGACCATTTCTAGGCGTCTTAGAACATGACGCCAAGGTATGAGGGTCGGCGTCGACTGACATGACGTCGAGGTCTTGCCACGTCACGGACGACCCCGGTCGACGACGACACGGTGGCGCATAGGGTCCACTACGTCGGCGTCGTGTCAGCCAACGCCACATGCCCAACCTGTGGCGTTGGCTGACACGACGCCGACGTAGTGGGCCCCATGCACCACCGTGTCGCCGTCGACCGGGGTCGCCCGTGACGTGGCAAGACCTCGGCGTCGTGTCAGTCGACGCCGACCCTCATACCTTGACGTCATGTTCTACGACGCCTAAAAATGGTCTATTTTCAGCAAACGTTTTGGCATAGGTCTTTTTGTAAAAAATATTTTCAAAAGAGACCAAAATGCAAAAATTGCACGGAAGAAGCCGCGGTACACGTTTGAGGAGGATGAGGTGGTGGATGACGACGACTGCGAAGAAGAGGAGCCCAGCAGGCACGGCGCCCGGTGCGAGCCGCCGCCGAGCCCGCGCGCCACGGGCTCTGGCGGGAAGAGGCTTCGTCCGGGGAAGGACGACGAGGACGAGAGCAGGCTCGGGTGGTGGGACTCGGACGCGCTCTCCTTGGATTGCGGCATCTGCTTCATGCCCTTCGAAGCTGAGATCTTCATGGTAAGCTGATAGTAATGTAATGAAGTATTACATTACTGCATGGATTGATCGTTCTGCTTGCGTTGTTCAGTGCAACAACGGGCACGCCGCCTGCGCCAAGTGCTGCGCGCGCATCAACCGCAAGTGCTGGTGCTGCGACGAGCCCATCGGCGACGTCCGGTGCCGCCCGCTGGAGAACGTCCTCGCCGAGATGAAAACCTTCTGCCGGTTCAAGCAGCATGGCTGCGGCGAGACCATCCGGTACGCCGACCGGCGGAGCCACAAGGAGGCATGCCCGCACGCGCCGTACGGCTGGCCCGTCGCCGGCTGCACCTACCGTGGCCTGCGGCTGTACCAGCACGTCCTCGAGGTCCACGCCGACGCGGTCGCCAACATCTCCTACCTCCGGAGCTCCACGGTGACGCTCCACAAGGCCGCGCCGTCGCGCGTGCTCGTGCAGGCCGGCAGGGGCCGAGTCTTCGCGCTGCTCAACGGCGGCAGCGTCCTCGGGGGCCGCTCCCTGTCCCTCCTCCCCTCCTCTGCGTCGGCCCGCGGCCCGAGGGCGGCGGGGACCTGAGCTACAAGATGGAGGTGCGCGGCGGCGCCGGCGCCGGCGAGGCCGGCAAGCTGTCGCTGGCGGGGACCGTGTCGTGCGCCCGCCGGCTGGAGGAGGCCCCCGAGGCCAAGAGCTTCCTGTTCGTGCCAAACGCGTACTGGGCTCCCTCCGGCACCGTCTCCGTCAGCGTCCGTATCGGCTGACGTGGCAATCTACCTCCTGCGTCAGATTGCAGCTTGCTTTTGCTCGTTCGTGTGCACTCCACTGCATCGGCGTTCGTATGAGTTGTTCGTCGTGTGTTGTATTGGATGGTCGCCCTATAATCTGCTTTTGGAGAGGTGATTTCAGTTGTTGGGGGAGAACGCCACTGTGTATGTGTTTAATTTGCCTAGACTAGAGAACGTCAACTGTTATCTGTGAATGGCCGGCTTTGTGAACTGGATCGTTGCATGATTTGCGGCCATTATAAAGCTAGGGCACAAGGGCAATCCCAACCATTTCCATGAGTAATGTCTCCGACAAATCACACCTTCTCAAAGAAATCACACCTTCTCAACCTGTAGTGTTGGTTTCTTCCCAACCCATAGTGTTAGTTTTTATGGAGTATATAATTTGATACTCTTTGCATGTCAAGAGAATAGAAAGGATCAACTATGGTAAGCATCTATATAGCAATATAGCATGTTGTGTGCCGACACATTCTAAATCTACAAACCAACAATACTAGTATAATTTAGACATGATACACCAGTTCATCCATCTCATTACAATAAAAATAAGACCCAGCACTATTAACTTGGTGTAAATTCAAATTAATGAATTTGAAGGACAGGTTCATCCATCTCATTACAATAAAAAAAAAGACCCGGCACTATTAACTTGGTGCAAATTCAAAGTAATGAATTTGAAGGAAAGGTAAATCTCAGCATCTCTGCAAATTTCCAAATGAATTTCGAAGCATACTTTGCTATATAGTTCTCATCAAAGGAAGCAGACCATATCACAAATCAGGAGTTACTGAACAATCTCTACAAATTTCAGAGCATACTGACTGAACAATATGCAGTTTGCACCCATGATTCACACCTCTCCTGTAATGTTGAGCCGACCAGTTCTATAATAGGAAATTTTAGCTTCACTGTGACGAAGTAAATAAAATTTTAAGCAAATAACGCTAGAACATTTCATTAATATATGAGATTATGTACGGATCGCCTGCAACTACTTTTTTTTACATAATAATGGAAAAGTGTTTGTTAGCCTACAAGGGCTAATCTGGTCCGCCCACTCTGTGACACAACAATATATTAATTAGTTGTTTTAAAGATGTCTAAAAACAATACTACGATAGAAGATATTGCTTCTACAAAATATTATTACTATGTGGCACAATTTAATTTAGTAACACGAAACAATGTATTGAGCTTAGCGTAAGTATCTTCCTGATTAGTATAAAGTCCCTGTATGTCCGCGTTAAATTATGCGTGAAAAACTGAAAACTGCTCGTACACGTTATCAGTTTGAAACTAGAGTCTGGTAAATATCTTCTCTGAAAATTCAATGGCCGCGTTACTTGACATGTTATCTTCCAACTAAACCGGACACGTCTCCATGATTAAGCAGAGTCACGTTTAATTAATTAGAGAACTTTTACGGTGTGGATCATATTAGTAGTTAGAGAGGACTAGTATAGTTTTAGACCGTTGGATCTATTGTTTTGTTTCCATCTGACCGTTAAGATATACTAGCATACTAATAGTTGTTAAGTACTAGTATGACTAGTATAGGTTGATTAGTATGACTTGTATAAGGGTATTTTTGGATTAGTCTAAATTTTGTTTCGTTTTTCTCGATCATTAGCTTTGGTTCACTTATCTCGTCATGCATTTTGATGATGAGGAACAGATCAACAGAGTGAGAAAGAGTCTTTCATTGATTCATCAACTTTTTACAAGATGTGTTGAGTACATGTATTTATAGTTGATGAGGTGATGTTAAGGCACTCGTTCGGGTATGAACGCGCCTGTTCGGGAAGGCGAGGCGCCCGTTCGGGCTGGCAGTTACTTCCTGGACTAATAAAGTGATTAGCAGTTGCTAATCGTATATCATGCTTCTTAACATAAATATTACCAGGATCAAGTAAGTGGCACCGCGTTAAAAGTTAAACATGGCCAGTTCACTGCAGCATCATGATTCATGGTACACAGAACAAATGGACTAGTTCCAACGTC